TCATGCCCACGAAGTAGTATTTTGTGGCCACAAATAAGTATTTAGTGCACACGTTATACGCATTTCGTGCCCACGAAGTAGTATTTTGTAGCCACAATTTATTTATTTTTTGGACCATGTCATCAGAGGGGCTCTGTACAAATCAACGTAGATTATCGAATGAAAAATATTTCAGTTTTTTCTACCTTGTGTTCATTGCAGCTCTATGAAGAATTAAACATTTGACTGCTTGACTTTTTAATTATTGTCATCTTGTCGCATCATCTTACAGCCTTCTTTTGCAACACTACACTGGGATCGAAACCTGACTATAGCTCAGCGTTCACCACCGACACGCACTTACACATGCTGTTCACAGAACTGAACAGAAAGACAGACAATAAGCTTTGTGGCAGTTTCTGCAGTTACCACAAACCATTGAGTAGGATTGGCAGACTGCATCTCCTTACAAAGACACACAAACACATACAGTACAGAATGCAGTAATAGGCCTATGGGCAAAGATTTCAGCTCTTCACAAGCAATACACTGTGTGTTATTGCTCATTGTGTGCTTTTTGTGCTCTAATAACACCCTACCAAAATGCTCCTTAGGAAATCAATACAGGCGTTTGGTACTGAATGAAGTAACTACAGTATATAACCCCATACACAGGAAAACATAACTGGTAATACACACACACAAGCATAAAAATTGCTAAAACATGTGGACAGAAATATAAGGTTGTGTACTTACAATTTAATTTACAGTAAACATTCATGAGCGTATTCAGGAGGAGATTGTTTTCAGTTATAATGTTCTGCCATTACTTTGGACATCACAGTTTTAGAAAAAAGAAAGTATAGACCAGTGCATAATAAGTGTCAACAGTAACTTGCCAGAGTCACTCAGCTTTGATGAAAACGTTTTATTTGGAGGTATAAAAAAAGCTTCATCACAGGTAGATCTTCACAGGAGACGATAGACCCTCTGAGCTAAGAATCCCTTCAGTGCAGATGTATTTCCATTTTTTCAATTGCTTTGACAATGCCAGACAATTTTTCATTAGGATGCCTTTATTTTATTTTATTAATATAAAAAAAACTGTACAGAGTCACAAACAGATATTACTATGGAAACGTTCTTAGTTAAATATCCTCTCGCAGTCATTTCAGTGCATGTGTGTGCGCGCATGTGTTTGTGTGTGTGTATATATCTTCATTCAAAGAGCTTGTTGACTTGATGCCAGCCAGGAGACAAGAGGACCCTGGGTAATTGGACTCCAGTGAAGCCCTGTATGGCACTGGAATAGTGTCTGGGATCGCTGCCATCCTCTATGTGTGCGGCTGTGTGTGTGGAGGCTCCCATGTGTGTGCATGCAATTTTACAGCTTTAACACTATAGTCCAGTGTAAGAGAAAAGTTAAGTACGAATAGTTGGACTAGTTGTTTAATTACATTTGCAGTAACTTGCTGGTCTTTCTTTTAAAAAAAATGTGTCTTTAATAACTGAATTCCCTTTGGGCATCCTGATGTGTGTGAAGGTCCAGACAATGCATATGCTTGACCTCTGAGTAGTGTACGTGTAAAGGAGCAGGAGTTGTGATCCCTGTGTGAGCACTTTACATCATGAATACATCTCCTCAATCTCAGCCTGAGGAAGAATCACCACAGCTATAAGAATCTTAATGATGCATTGTGGTTTAGTATTAAATTTGAAAAAATTCAACACTAAACTACAATGCACAGCATTTAGTTTAGAACAACTACACATACAACAACGCGCTGTGGTATTTTAGTTTACTGAACTAATGGCCCAACGTGTATTGCTATTTCACCCCTGAATATTTTTGTCACAAGCCTCACGTTCTCTGTATTAAACACTGTTGCTCCATAAAAAAGCAGTACATTCACATGTACTTGAGTGATATTGAGTTGCACCATACAGTTTATGGCGTTGATAGCGGTGCTGAAAGGGCAAATGTAACGGACATCTGGTTCATCTGAGTTTCAGAAAAATATACCAACCGTTCGGTCAGGTATTCATTGTGGTATCACCAGTGGAAATGTCCTTCAGTGTTTCCTAACAAAAGATATATTTAAAAAATACCATTTCAAGAACAGCTAAATCATTTTCTCTCTTGGCCAATATGCTATGGTTGAACAGCTGCCAAAGGAGAGGGATTAGAGGGAAAGAATAAAAGAAACAGGCTGCTGGGAAATGAGGAGCCAAGGAGCTGATTGTATTCTACCATACTGCTGTTTTCTCAGCTGGTGGATTACAATCCACCCCCCACTGCCCCACCCAACCCCACGTCACCTTATTTTCTGTCTCTTTCCTTTTGCTTGAATTTTATTCATATGAATTTCAGTTGTGTTACTACGGTAATGTACACCCTTTCTCTCCTCCCTTATTGTGCACTTTCTCACATATATTATGATATATATATAATGTAATAAATGGATGTAAGATGTTAAACCAAAGTAAGTGGTAATTTTAAAATACAGTTTTTGAAAGTTTGACCTTGTTTGACCTTAAAGAAGAGGTCAGTGGTAAAGAGTAGTGTGATATTTAGAGTCTGCATGTTTCATTCCCTATATGCCTTTATGGTGTCAATGCAAACAATGGAAGTAAGAAACATAGTTTGAAAATAGCTCAGTATACAGTTATTATTACTTTGACCTTCAGATCAAGAGATCATAGAAATCTTTATACAGTACTTTGCATATGTTGACAATTCAAAGCACACTTAAGAATTATAGTTTATGGGTTATAAGGCTTTTTTGATTGTATTCAACCATTAATCATTAAATTGACCCTGAAGATCTTTGTGGATGCAAGTCAAATCTTAATGGATGGTAAACATGACCCCCACCCTACACCCCCTATAAAGCGTGCATGCACACACAAATGATACCAAAAATGTAATCTCACTGGTGGAGGTAATAACCAGAAGTGGACAAGTTCAACAACAGCAAAAACAATGGTGGAAAAAAAAAAAGAAAAGAAAATGACTATTGAATATTTTGGTACTATATTAAAAAGGAGGGAAAAAAACACAACGAATCCTAGTTAAATAGATCAGAGTTAAACATTGTTCATTGAAGACCATTTTGAAAACTTTAATCACATTCTTTGATCATCAAATCATAACATCGCATGACACTGTATGCACACAGTGTGAAATTAATTTGCAGAATATGGCCAATGTAAGCAGCGCCAGCACCACCGGCCTTCATTCCTTTCAAGTTAACATCCGCACCTGTGCTGAATATGGTTACATTCAGGTGGTGTTCTGGTGCAGAATACCTGAAAATTATGATTTCCTAGATCAAAATACTGCAGAATGGTGCCACTTCAGCTTTTATCTCTGTGCCCGATTAACAGATGAACAGGCTTATTGGCTCTTTATTCACATATTGGAAATGTGAATAAAAAGCCCATTGACGTTTTAGGATATCCTTTGGAAAGAAGTTTGCTCTTTATTGATAAATATTTTGGGATTGATAAGTGCCAGGCACCCCAGTTGTATTGCTCATGTGCAATACAAAAGAAACTGAATTTCAGTTACAAGAACTTAAATATTTCTCTTTTTTTATATCAACTTCTTTTCGACATTATTTGACTTTTAAATATCTCCCTACCCCACCTCTATCCTTCTGTAAGTCCCCCAAGCCCCACTTAGACTGCTGCCCCTGTGAATCAGACCCCAGTAAGCAGTGGATGAATCAATGGATGGATGAATAATGTGATTCTCATTTGCAAAATGAAAGACTAAACACTTCCAACCCTTTCCAATACTGTATGAAACAGCCACATGCTGCATTCTCTGCTTTACTGTCTTTTAATTCAGTCACTGCATCAAGCTTCTTTATCTGTATGTTTTCACCCTCCTCTGATTTTAGTTAGCAGCTGCCAGCAAAGCTCCTGAAAGCCATGCTTTGCAACAGTATAAAATTACCCTTTGGATAAGTACTGTAGCCAGAGAGACTCCGATGTAAAACTAGCACAGCAAGATGAAATTCACTGGGGGTACAAATTGTATTACAGCCTCCATTAGCCTTCGGCCTCATCTGTCACAGAAGTAAGACCTAAGTTAGAGCAAGCAGACCATTCACAGGTCAAATATCCAATAGTAGGTCTGTTGGCACAGTAGCAGAGAGGTTCTAAGTCAATCAATGAGTTGAAACAGAGTCAAACAAGGATGGAAAACAAGTCACACTACAGTGAACAGCAAAAAAACCCCATCTTTTCTCCTTTGGTTTGTGCTGTGTGTGCTCCTGCGTGTGCCTGTGCTTGTGCCTTGAAGGTCGTCTTGTAATTGAAATAGACTTTTTGGAACTAGTAGGAGTGTATGTATCAACAGACAGACATGCTGACGTTTGGATTTCACCACAGCAATCATTGTTCATGCACACATAAGTGCTTATTGTATAGCATAACCTGGCATTCTCAACACAATCTCAACACATCATCACCATTGACCATCTGTTGTTATTGCTGATGGTGCTTCTGTGGACAGTTCAGCCAGGTCATTACAGATTCAGCTTTTCATCCTATTTGTTTTGAATTATGCTTTGCCAAAAAAACAAAAAACATCCCAGTGCCCACTTGCATAATTTTGATTGAACCCAGCATCACCTGTAATGTACTATCTGATCAATAAACACACCTTTAAATTCAGCTTTCATCGAAGATTTGTTTTTACGTTACTCCGGGGAATTAGATTGTGAACTCTGATAAGAGAATGTCTTTCCCGGACAAGCATAGACATGGTTCTGCAGTCATCATTGTAGTCACCCAGCTTTTGTCCATTTTAAAACTATCTTCGCCTTACACTTTTTATTGTATAACAAAAGCAAAGTGAAATGGTTTTGTGTGAGTTAATAATGAATGCATGAATCCAAGCTTAAGTTCAACCCCTGCGCTCTTGGGGAAGTTTTTTAGTGTAAATCTCATGTCTTGGCTGTCTGTCATTTTTTCTGCTTGTATAAAGTGAGTATTTTGTGTTTGTGTTGCAGGTTCCTCGGCGTGCCCCCAGGCAGAGGCAGTTGCCCACTCACTGGTCCATTGCCCTTTGACCTCATCTACACAGACTACCATGGCCTGCAGCAGATGAAGCAACACATGGGGCTCTCACTCAAGAGACACAAGTTAGTCGATCTGCATTGTTGTGTGTGTGTGTGTGTGTGTGTGTGTGCGTTGTGCCTTTGAGATTGAGTATCTTCGCTTTTCGTTGTTTTATATATGTGTTGCTTTATCTGTGTGTAGTGGAGTGTGTGCGTGCCTGTCTGTGAATTTAATGGCTGTGTTTATAGATTAATCATTGCTGGTAATAAGGTATACATGTCTTACTGTAAGTCATTTGGCCTGTTAAAATCACACAGTTGCAGATACACAGGGATGCACACTAACACCCACATACACACTTAAAACACGCTTGCTGTCCCTGTAATCACGCATCCCCTTCCAGGTAGAACAGGCTCAAAGTGCACAAAATGTCAAACACATTAGAGTTTGTATGTTGCTGTGCAGTCGAATGCACAACATGCATACTCACAAGCCGGCACCAGCATCACCTGTCATGCTCCATTACCCTGCACATCAGCAATAATGAAAAGCACATGTAGTACAGTAGTAGAGGTACATGTAAAATTGAAAGCTTGTCATTGGCATACGTGTACTAATTACCCCACAGAAACATAAAAATCTGTTCATCCGAGCACCGATTTCCAGTCAAAGCCTGTTTCAGCAGCTTATTATTACTGTTTGAATGCACTCAGAGACTCGCTGAGTGGTTAAGAGGTGATTAAACATGAAAAGAAGAAGAGAGAGGAAGAGGGGTTATTTTTGAGCTGTTAAAGAATTGTGCTAATGGCTTTTGGCATTGTTACAAACATTCAACAACTTGGAAAACTAGGCCATGACAGTTATGAGACCGTGGCAACAAAACATAAAGAAATACCCAAAACAGGAATTTAAAGTACCACAGTGCATTTGAAAAAAAAAAACAAAAGAAGAAGAAGAAAAGAAACTTAGCTACACATTCCTGCAGAGCACAGCAATATGAAGCCACATTATCTTCAGAGGACTTTCATGTTGTTGCCTCAGAAACAAGCAAGACTGAAAGTCTAACTTTTGCCTTGTCCTCTCCAGCTCCTTAAAAACAGCTTGCAGTCACTACCCTCTGTCCCACTATCATTTTTTCTGGTCCACTAAACTGGCATTTGTCTGACCCCTGCATGTGATAACGGCAATTGACATTTTGCTTTCCTTGTTTTGGCTTCCAGCATAAAGAAGGAGCAAAGAAAGATAAAAGATGGAGAGGGCATGTGTGAGTAGGAGGCCAACTGAAAGTGAAACAGTAGGAGACGAGAGTAAGGACGAGATAAAACAGCTATGGTGCGCAGATGGAGCACAGAACGGAGAGAGAAAGATACCACAAAACGGAGGAGTAGAAGTTACCTGCAGTCAACCTGGCACCACATATAAAGGGCCGCTCCATGTATTTTTAAAATCCAATTATGGGTGAGAGAAATGGATTAGTGGTGGGCCGGGGAGCCATTTTCCCTGCACACAACCTTTTTTCGTCTCTCCCGCTCTCTCACCATTTGTCTCCCTTCTCGTGAGTTGTCTCGTACACACAAAACCCCGCATTTCCACCCGACAGACAGTCAGCACCTAATTGCTTGCTGAGGTCAGCAGTTCTTCACTTCGTCATTACTGTGTGGAGTCTTGATTTCTGCCTCCACTAACAGGATGTGGCTTTTAGTGTTTGTAGGAGACAGTCTTTTGTGTGCCCAGGAGGCTGCGGTGAAAGAATTATCCGAATGTTCCAGCAATACAGGCACAGAAGCAGGAACATCTATCTTCACTTTCACGAAAGGATACACTTTAGTGATTTAAAATGTATGAAGAGGAGTGAACAGAGGATATTAAGTCCCACGTGGATCCATATTAACACACAGCTCCCAAGAATGCAATCACATTTGCATTCAGGTAAATGATATCTAGCATATGCTATTAATTAATACTGCTGTAAAGCCAGAGAGCTGAGCTTAGTGGATCAGTGCTTCATGCTTAATATTAACCCAGCAGTCCCCAGAGGTGCAGGATAGGTCAATAACACCTACCTCCCACCCCCTTTTCTAACTCCGTCCTGATCTCTCCGCCCCGCTCTCGCTCTCTCCCACTCTCTATCTCGTTCTATCTCTCTCACCTTGTCTGGTCTAGTTGAGTCTCTTGCACTGAAAGGAATCATTAATCAAGTGCTCTGTGCTTTGGGACCCTTCAACTCCCTTTAATTACTTTTGTTATATGTTCCCACCAACATCCACAGTCATTAATTATGCCCGAACAAGACGGTGCTGTCCAGTCTGGCGTGCTGTTTGGAGTCACGCGTACTCCTGTGTGCGAACTCGCGCACATTCGAGGGTATATCAGTGCACATGTGCCGTTAAAGATGGTGAAAGTTGATAAAGGTAATATCCAAACCATCTCATCTGATAATAGGACCAGCATCATTGATTTCCTCTGCATGATGAATTCACTGCTTTGACGGAGCAAGATCAGAGCAGATATCAAGGGCGAGGCCTGCAACAAAACACAAATAACAAAGTATTGTTGCTAAAACTGAAGGAAACCACCAGTACGTGTGCGTGTGCGTGTTATACAGTGCAGTTAGCATGTCGATGAGGAGGTATTGCTAAAATCCCTGCACTTTTTAGAGAGCCCTTTTGTTAATGCTAATACAGGCAGAAAGAGCAATTAGGTAGCACATAATCAGTAGGATTACTATCTTTGCTGAGGTGCAAGAAAATTTCTATCACTATTCATTTATACAAATCTCCTTAAAAGGCAGTGATGGGCAACTGTCAGTGCTGTAGTTTCAGTTATAATAGGGGTGGGCAGTATTTGTGCCGAATGCATACATACATAATACTGTAGATGAAGTCAACAGTTGTGATTTTTTGTCTGAAAAGTGTAGTAGATTAACCAAGTAAATGACTGTTCAAAGATTTCAGCAAATTTCAGAATTGTTGTAATCACAACAAGAAAAAAAACATAGCAATTATATCTCAAATCAATAAGTTGTGTTTTAGACACGTCATTCTGTTTTATTAAGATTTTATCTCGACAGCTCAACAAACAAAGGAAACAACTGGGATGGAGAAAGTGGGCAGAGGCTTCTGGGTTGATTGCGGTAAATGGGTGGAATTAGTGAATAACTCTGCAGCTCACTGGTTTTAGAGAGATGCATTTAAGCAATATTTTGTAGTTTGTATTTCTCACTGTTGATTGTTGGTGTACTGAGGTTGGTCAGTGAGTGACCAACTGTGTGCTGGTCGCCAGCTGGGTAACAAATCTCTCCTTCTCTGTTTGAAAAATCTGTGGACGAGTGTAACTGAGCCCAACCTTAACGTAAGAAGTGCAACCGAACACAAGAAGGAGAATGATTATCGCAGGGTTACACAGGACACAGAAACGGTTTCTTAGGTACTTTGCAAAGAGTAGTTCATCTTGGGTAACAGCTGACTTCTAACAACTAGTTGCATTCACAGAGCTGTGGAGAGCCCCCGTTGCAGTCTGATGCTTTTTCACTATTACACCGTGCATGAGCAGGAGGCATGTGGTGAGCAGCATGTGAGGTCTAAGCTTTAGCAGGGAAAATGGCACTGTGATTACACGAACAAAGCACAGATGTAGTCATCGTTTTATTTTAAAAAATTTTTAAAAAAGACAGAGCATCTTGAGGTAGCTCATTACATCTGCGACACAGCAACATATTTTCGGAGCAACTCGGAGAATATGTTGTTTTCCTAATTACTATTGTTTCGCATTAGTCTGGTGATTGAATTCAGATTATTATGGGTTTGAGTATATCCATATTTCAAACATAAAAATGAGTCACTCAGTAGAACGTGTTGCTCTTGAATTAATGCTTGCACTATTCATTATTAAATGTTGGTGGTGTTGTCCACTGATGCCCAGTTTCTTATAATCCCACATCACATTTACATCACAAGACTGCAGGTGACAGTGAACCATGCTGCCATATTCGCCTCACCCCAGATGACTGGCGAGTCTCGCTGAGCAACCGTTTAACCCAGATTAGCCCGGTGCTCTGATCTCCCAATAGATATTCAGCTCAGCTACTCCTACGCTTATCCCCTCTTCTTCCACTTTTTCCCCTCCCTTTGGGACCTCTTATCTGGTGGCAGAAACATTTTCACCATTTCAGAGTGGTCGATATGTGATGCCACAGGTTGGAGTGAGGGATGCAAGAAGACGGGGTAGAGACGAGTGAAAGCAACATTCGTTATTAATAATTCATTATCAGCTTTCAGATATACTTACAAATAGAAGCACAACAGTTTCTGCAAAATTTCATCCTCAGAACTTTGAATGAACAACGTGCCGCTGCTTGTCGTTTCTTGTTTATTTATTTGTTTTCTCGCTGATACGTTACTCTCCAGGTTACTTTGTCACTTTATTGGTTGGCCTCTTGGATGCTGCAGGAGCTGGCAGAAATATCTGAGAATTGTCAAACACGATTGGGGTGTCACCTTGTCTGTAAAAAGAATAAAATGCCCAGAGGGGAATATTTTTCATGCTGTCAATACTGAAGCTTCAAAAATTGTGTAAATGCAAAAAAAAGGAAAGAAAAGAGCGAAAGAGACATCTAGGTATTCTACCAAAACACAGTTGCAGGAAGTCAGATTCTAAGCTTTAAAGCCTGCATTTCTAACTTATTTGTTTAACACATTTATGTAAGTGCATTGCACAAAAAAATTGTTAACAATAGCTGAAGTTCTTGCAAAATGAGGCAATAATCTAAACGAATGTAGAAAACGTGAGATTTTATCCAGTTGGTGTTCAAAAGCTATCAGGCTATGGTGAAGGCTTTCCAGACAGCAAATAAGTGGTTTTTTAACACACTATTTACACCAATGTTCAACACATACCCATCATGGGAGAGCCAGAGAAACCAATTTCTGCACTGTAAACAGCTTAAGTGGAAAAAAAACCCCTAACATCTAACATAAAACGTGAACGGTTTGCTTCACTGCTGCGTCAGAGAGCATCTGCCTGTCAAGGGGCTGCTAAGATGTGAAAGGCAATGGCCAAATGAAAGGAGCTGGCAGGCTGGGTTTTACTGCAAACACAAACTTGTTGCAGTTTCTGAAAAGCAAATAAGATCACAAAGCTGAACCAAAGCTGAAATAAAATCGTAATGCACAAATGCTGGCATCTGAAAATCATTACATGTGTACGGCTACAAGAAGAGTCACGTGTCTGGAAATAGTTTAGCTTTTTTTTTTTTTTTTTTTTTAACTGATGTAATATTTGCCTTCTAATTGCTCTCCAGATGCAGAATGTTTTTATTACCCCATATCTGTCTCTTTTACACACTCAGACACGCGGTTATCTGCCAGGAAAGACTCAGAGCTAAGGAAGTGGACTCTGCTCCTTTAGCTCTCTCTAATCCCCCCTGAGTCCACATACTGGCCAGATTTAACACAGTCACAAACAAGGGCACAGTGAGCTCTGCGTCTGCGTCTGTCTGTGGTGAATGATTCTGTTATGAACCTCAGTTATGCTTCACTGCTTTGCCACGAAGCATCCACCTGGAAACTCTATCAGCAGCTCATCGCACCTCCGACCTCTAAAAATTGTTTTTTTGTCATTTTTATGTCAAACTTGCCACACTGCTGGTTGCTTATGTTATTTTGGTTATTTATCTGCTTCTCCAGTGGCAGCTTCTTGTTTTTCTCCTTTCACTTTTGAGAAACCTGATGGCTTTGTACTCTAATGTGGCATTCCACCTGAATGGCCTGCTGCACAAATGCATTTAAATATATAATTGTACATGTATTGAACATGAAGTATGGTTTATAGAACCCTTTAGAATTGGGTTAATACATTTTATATTTTTTTAGTTAGACGCTGCAATTAGTGCCTCCAGTGGTGTAACTGTTACCACATTTACTTGGCAAGTGAAAGTGAAGTGAAGTGACTTGCTGGTTTGATTCCAACTGGAGATGCAAATCCCCTTTTGGGTTGCATCACAAAGGGCATCTGGTGTAAAAACTACTAAATCAAACATGCTCTGCTGACCCCTTGTGGCAAGCGTGCAGCCGAAAGTAGCTTTAGCTAGGCAATCCAGGTGATTTCGTGTGTAAACTTTTGATTGCTCATCTATGGCTGTCAGCTAGTGCCAGTAAGACTTTTGTCAAAGATGGAAAACCAGAATGACTTGTGACGTATTCACCAACAAACTTCAGTTTGGATACTACAAATGATCCAGAGCGCACTCTTATTAGACGTCACCAAGATCAGACAAGAAATCCTCCTGCTATCCTGCTTCACATTAGAAAACGTTATGTTACAAATTAAATAATGGTTAAAGCAAATTCAGAAATTTACCGACTTGAAATGACAAAGAGGCACATTTTAACAGCCGCCAACAACTCATGGACCATTTGAAGTAAAATATACTGACATTTTAATTATTTTTTGTGTTTTATTTTTTAATAATGTAGTACAGGATTACACATGAACTGAGTCTGTCATTTTCTTTGCAGGTGTCATATTCGAGTGATTGACACCTTTGGCACAGAGCCTGCTTATAATCACGAGGAGTATGCAACTCTGCATGGCTACCGGACCAACTGGGGCTACTGGAACCTCAATGCAAGGCAGTACATGACTATGTTCCGTATGTACTATATTATTATTATTGTTATTGTTAACTTTTATATCATATGTAGATTACACCCTCAGCTTGAGAATTGGTGTTTTTGTACCTCCAGCTTGCATGCATACATGCACAGACACACATTCAAAGGCCTGTCATTAGTTGACATTCATTCTAAATATAATAAAATGACTCCATTTCAGTGTTTTCACTTTTCTGACAGGTCTGACTGCTCGTTCATTTTAATTTGGAGCAGTGTGTTTAACACGGCTATTTTCAGCAACAGCAGCTTCTAGCATCCCTTCAAGTTGTTTCGGAGCGTTATCTCCAGTTTTTCCGGTTCTCTTATATGCTACACAATATGTCTGATCTGCTTTTTCAAAGCTCTCCTTGCCGCCTGTCTCGTCACTTTCTGACTGAAACACTGAGAATCAGCTCTGTTCTGCTTCCACAGTTCAACTCTCTGCAGTGTCGTACCTGTTTAGCTACAGCTGGCACTCGGCTGTAAGATCATTGTCATTATATCATCAATATGTGGCCCACTGTGGACGGCCACGTTTCACACTGTCCAAAGCTATAATGACAGATTCAACCTCTAGCAACGCTTGTGTGAGAGCAGCATTACTGGCCAATTATTAAAGTTCTTCAGTGCATAAAAATGTGCTGTGCTAAAAAAAAAAGATTTTATAAGAGCTCGTAGCTTTGGAACCGTGGATTGAACGTGGGTGGTTGTGATCATCAGAAATACCTGAACTCACAGCGAGTACTTAAAAGATATTACATATATTCTCATACTAAACAGCTCAGACAATTACCATTAACAGCAGCTGGCTTTATGACAATCGCTATTAATAATGCTTAGAGAGTCCATACACATGCTGACTAAACCCTTCAAAAGTACTTTTTCCTGTCTCGTTCACTTACTTACTCACTAACTTTCTTCCTATCTCTCTTTTTCTCTTTGTCTTTTGTTTTCTCTCCATCTACTAATATCCTACCTTTCTGTGCTGCTCACACATACTCACACACACAAATACATTCAGCTCACACACCAGACAACTCATTCATGGGCTTTGTTTCGGAGGAGCTGAATGAGACGGAGAAGAGGAGCATCCAACAGAACAAAGTCAACAACATGGCTGTAGTGTATGGGAAAGAAGCCAGCATGTGGAAGGTACAGACAACAATTTACCCACACAGATGGCAGTCAGTCAGTGTAACTCTGTTTTAGTGAATTCTGCGTGTAGTGGTAACCGCTAATGACTCCATGGAAGAAGACGAGTAATTATTTGGAGGCCTAGTTTTTATAATAATAAAATAACATGTAATACTGTTAGAATTATCAGTAGATATAATGTATCCAAGCATATTCTCGTAGGTACATACATACATGTTTACACCTGTACAATACACTTAATAAGCTCATAAACATCTCATATTGTATACACTAAGAGTAAAATGAGGATCATTCATTTTTTATAGATTAACTCCATACATTGTGCACTAAAGAGAAAAAAACCAAATGAAATCAGGTGTAAGTAACCTTTAGCTTTACAGCACTTGTTCTCTTATACACTAGGTGTTGTTTCTACAAATTTTTCATGGTACTTTTATAGCAGATGGGTTGTTCTCAGCATCTTGGAGAACTGTTTTTGTGGAGTAAGGCTTCCTCCGTTGATTGTATGTCTCTTTGCTGTCTCAGACTGCGTGCTTTAGTTAGTTTGTTTTTTACATCATTGCTCAAAGGATGCATAACATCTGTTGGAGACTTCTGTTAGCCACTCAAGCTTGTTCTTCATGGTTGTAGTTGTGTATTTTGGGGTCATACTCACATTGCAGAAACAAAATGTGAGGCTGCCAGAGATACTGCAGTGCACAATATTTGCATTGTATATGCAGAAAGATTGTCACTACAGCCCAGTTGTCTTTCAGCCTGCATGTATGCAGACACAATCTTTAAACCAAATACTCTAAACCATCGACTGAAACGTTAACAGAAGAAAGGCACCAAGCTGCTTGCATCATTAGTTTGCTTCATAGGGCTCTTTATACACAACTGTATAGCTTCAATTTACAGGCAATTTTCCTCTCCAAAACTGTCTGCTTGTTCATATGCTCAATGTAGCTGAGAAAAAGTTGTCTGCATCTCTAAAAGGATTTTTAAAACATTGTTTGCTGCCATTTCTTTCTGCTGTCTGCCCACACAAGTCCCCAGATTAGTTTATGGTTGTTGGCTGTGAGAGAGATGGGCTTAAAGGCAGTTATGAATGCACAGTCTGCAACAGTTTGATGAGGAAGGAAGTAAATGTAACACATAGCTGTTTCTACCAATTATTGCAGCCTTGTTTGGCTACAATTCTGCCTCAATTTACTTTACTCTCTTTGTCTTTGTGTCACTCTTTTTTTCCCTTGTGGGGGACCTTGTCACCGGATGGGTGTTCATTAGCTTCAGGTAAGAATGTGTTACTTTTACCAATTTATATTCATCTCACATCCTACACTTATGCAGGAGAGTAAAAAAAAAAAAAAGGAGAGTAATGTTGCATCGTTTCCATGTCTAGGAATAGACAATCTTTGTTAAGATGCATACAACATGAGAGACAGGTGCAACTCCTGACCGGTCATGCTGCTGCATATCATTTCTCTGCTGGTTAGCTTGGTGCATCCATTATTCACTGTGGTACTGGAGAGGAAGGGGATGCTAATTTTGGCTCTCGAAAAATTGGTTTAAAACATATTGTACTTGTACGGCGCAGCTTCCCACCCCGTGGAGAACAACAGAATGCTGAACAAGGCAAAACAGTCTTGCTGCAACTTTAAACCTCAATACAATTAAAGCTAATGAGTTTGAAAATTCACCCCCTGTATAGTTGTCATGGAGTTTGGAAACTACAGTTAAGGTTATGTAAGATAACATTAAATAGTTCTAAAAATTTGGTTTAGTTTTACATGAAGAGATTGAAGATACTATGGAAATACTTAAGTTAAGGAACCAAAAGAGATGAATAATAAAATACTGACTTTACAATACCATCAGCATACAGCTAACTGTTCAAATACATGGTGCTGTATATGAAAAAAAATGTGTATGAAAGTACTATAAACAAAAAACATATGTCTTTCTTTCATGCTGTGCACACAGCAATCAACATTATATATACACACAAACTTCTTTTTTTAAATCTTTATAAACCCAAATTAGCTAAGGGACAAAAAAAAACAGCACAACAGACATTTATTAGCATTCCTAATCCATTCCCTGCTGAGACGGTTAGCTTGTACATACATAGTCACAAAGCGAGAGTGCAGGTTATGGAATCTGCACTCTTTCACAGCTGTGTTTCTCTTGCTAATTCATTGTCGTTGTCTGCTGCACTTAGCGCTTGAGCTAATCTCCTAATTGGCTGGGAAAATCCTCACAGAGGAAGCTATCGATTACTACAGCCTCCAATTATGGCTCTGTGTCTGCGGGAGGGGGGCCACAGCAGAGGGATAACGTAAGCTGCTTAACGCCAGGCAGTCAATACTCTAGTCGGGGTTATGCACCGTTCACATGATTAAATTTTGGTTGTTAACTGATGCTAGCTGTTTTTTCTCCCAGTCGTCCTGCTGAACCTTGACTGCCCTTCTGGCTGTCTCACCCTCAGCATGTAATGTATTTATTATTAGATTAAAAAAGGAGAGAAGTATGTACAACTAAGTGTAAGTAAGTGAATAAGGACAATCAATGCTTTATCCTGCTTAAAACCAAGCCTCAGCGCAGCAAAATAAATACCTGCCTGCCAGATGTTTCTCCACAGAGTTTACTGACATTTTATTTTATTTTTATTAAGAATTGTTCATTTCTTTTCTTTTTTTTCTTTTTTTTCTTTGTTTTATTTTGTTTTGCACATCAAAATTCAACCATCTTTCTCACATCAAGGTCGATATTAATTAAAGGTGAAGAAAACTTCACAGCAGGTAATAGGATGAGTGGAGTGCAGAACTCAAAACTTATTCCTGGTTAAAAAGAAGGCAATTTTCCTCTACATGTTAATATTTGGTGTGTATATTGGTGCATTTTTCATAGGTGAAAGTAAGAATTCAACCAAATGAAACTAGCGGCCCTGTGTTTGTTTCAGTGAGTAAAAAAGGACTAGACTGCACCTTTTAACCCCTGTAGAAAAAGTAGGAAATCAAAGAGCCCATAAGAGCTACTGGGACACGCCCACCTGGCAACAAAAACAGTACTGTGGTCTTTGTCCTTCATCCATCCTTTGAACGTTTTTCAGTTTAATTTAGCCAAAATGCTGCATAGTTGTTGTGCTATCGGATGGCTCATTTAAACTGTAGAAATGATTTACCTGACATTGGAAAAATATTCGCACAGCTTTACACTTATGATACAATATTAGTGTGACAAACAGAAGTTTTCTAGCCCTACACTGTAAAAGTCACCAAAACGCACTATATAGCACTTACTTTTGCTTTAACAATGAACTATTTCTTGTTCTTCAGCTTTCACACAGTGGCATTATTCACCCATCCAGATCGAAAATACATGTAGCTGTTTGTACTCTTAAAGCGTTCATCCTGGCATCAGTGTAAGGTAAGGGATTCGGTACAAGATATACGTAGATGTCACCGAGCTGCCTGAGCAAAATATGGATCACAAATTTTACCTCCCATCTTCTTTTTCCTCCATTGATGGATGATCCAAGTAGTCTTGGCTCAAGACAGGTGGAAAAAAAGCAACACTTTCCAACACTGTCCTGCAGTACTGCAGACTGTCTACTATTGTCCATAATGTTTTGCCCACCAGGGTAGTGAGTCGGTCAGGTGACTGAAAAGCACAGATAGTGATTAGAAGAACCAATAATGTGAGCATAATCTATTTCCATATGCTTTATAAAATGACATATGAATTAGCTCACGCAAATTCACACAGATAAGTTAGAAGATGTGAAAATATTCAGCACACTGTAGTGGAGCAAGTTCTTTAAAGAGGACCTATGATGCTCATTTCTACCTTCATATTTGTACTCTTGGATTCTTGGCCTTGGTGCAGCCACTTTATCCACTGTGTGAAACAAGCCTTTTTGGGATGGGGGGACATTTTTGCTTTCATTGGATAGTTAAGCACTGTATATTTGACAGAAATGTTGAGAGCTGGGAAAGACTCTAACCAAAGGCCTGTAGGTTTGACTGAAACCCGGGCTGCTGCATTTCACTTATGTGGCATATGGTCACCTGCTCAACCAGGGAGCTAAACTGGTACCTGAAAGCCTTTTTAGCTCCCTTTGCAGTCCCTCCTTCAATCCAGCTTTCTTCTGGGGCTTCTGTGTTTACAGCCAGAGCTGTGCGCCTTAGTTATTTGGAACAGATGCACTGACCGACATCATACAGAGCCAAGATTAGAGAAAAAACTGCCTGAAATGGAGCATTTAAAGAAGTCTGAAGCCTGAGCTTTTGTCTTTGAAAGATTACTAGTACGGATTTTGACCTCATTATATCAAACTTCAGCTAAAATTAATATGACTGTCCCACACTCTAACTATATATTTATTATTCTAAGAAAAAAGGTCACCATTTTTTAAAAAAAATTATTTATGGTGTTCTTCCTATTACACACTCTTTCTTCTATACGACCCATCTATGTGTCATCGCAGTTCATCGGTCTCACCAAACCATCTTCTTCCAGCAGGGTAAAGAGAGTTTCCTCCAGATTCTCCATAGATACATGGAAGTCCACGGCACAGTCTACTATGAGACCCAGAGACCTCCAGAGGTCCCAGCCTTTGTGAAGAACCACGGCCTGCTGCCCCAGCACGAGCTGCAGCAATTATTGCGGAAGGCCAAGGCATGAACTTTGTGGTTATTGTCACCACTGTTTAATGGACAGAGTGTTTACAAACTTTTCTTCTGCTTTTCTAACTTCTAAACTAAATTCTTCTGCTTTTAAATTACACAATCACTAAATTACATCCCTGATTTATCTTTTTTTTTTCTCCTAGCTCTTCATTGGTTTTGGTTTCCCATACGAGGGCCCGGCCCCTCTTGAAGCTATAGCCAATGGTTGCATTTTCCTCCAGCCCAAGTTCAACCCACCCCACAGCTCACTAAATCACGAGTTTTTCCGAGGCAAGCCCACATCTAGAGAGGTAGGTTCATAATTTGTATATCTTCCCACAATCAGTCATGCTGCCAACAGATTCATTAAAGCAGTGGCTCAAACATTCGATCCAGACTGCATTTTTGCCACACTAATGGACACAGTATAACTATTTTTATGTGTCTTTGTACAAAATAATAATTGACAGTATTCATTTGATAAAGACAAACTGATTTTTCTGCAGCTAAGTGTTGTCTTTGTGGAGAGATGTTATTTATTTGCAAAATATTTATTTATAGAGCTGTCACTGTGTACACTGCATTTGTTTTCTATAGGTATTCTCCCAGCACCCGTACGCGGAGCAGTACATTGGCCGACCTCACGTCATGACAGTGGACTACAACAACTCTGTGGAGTTTGACTCTGCTATCAAGGAAATCATGAGGACCAAGGTGCTCACATATAACAGTGCTTTAAAAAAGAATTCATAAAGACAAAAGACATAACCATTTATCCTGTTATGTCCACTAATTAGTTACACTGAGTTAAATTATGCATTGCTGTGTATAAATGAGGTTAACCGTGACTGGGTGCTCTTTCACTCGTATCAGCTCTCTTCATGCTGAAAGAGGGACATCTCTGGTGTTTCTTTCTGTTTTAACAAACATGTTTTCATAGACATGCCAAGAATAGCTACATGTACTTATCCACCTATTGCTTTTGTGCCTTTGTGGCCAGGAAAATTGCAGCTGGTTTGTGCCTTGTTTGGCTCTTGTAATATAACATTTCATTTTTGTATAGCGTTCAATGATAACTCTTAGAGTTACAGATAGCACGGTTTGTTCTATTCTGTTTTCCCTTGAAGCTGTGATAAAATACAAGTACTGGACCTGCTCTTGTTGCTGTGAGCCTAATAACAGTTTTTTAAACTTTGATGAAACAGCACAATAATTTTGCTGTGGTCAAGTCCTCCAGAGGGAGTTTGCCGTCTGTAGGTAGCAGAGTTATACTGCAGAGTGCTGAACTTTTCAATTCAGTGAATGTGATATAGATTAAGGACGCTAGCTTCCGAGAGAGGGAGCAGGGTTAATTAAAGAGTCAGCCAGGTACACTGAAGCTTTTTAGAAAGCATTGAAATTGGGTGCAATGTTGAAAAAAATGAATTATATGAGCAGAAAAATTGAAAGATGGAGAGTACACTGACCAAGCATCTGCACAGTCACAAAATCTTTATAAAACAGAAATCCAATATGCCAAGCAGGCATATTTTCTACTCTAAAATACAGGGGTAGACCTTTTATATCTGAAACTAAATAATGTTTATTGAAGTTCAAAACTGCAGATGCATTTTACACTCGGAGAGGTGAAGCTGTGATTCACTAGTTTTCACGCAGATTCGAATTTCTAGAGAATTGACCATCCTAACCATTTTGGCATCCCAAAAACTGACCTCTTGAATTTATAAATGGTCATTTTGTTCTGCGTACGCTAAGGTATATTTAAATGTATTGTCAAATCTGATGGAAATCTGATGGATCTGGATACATTTATGGCTGAGGTATAACACTCTTGGCATTTAACATAGGTGTGAACACACATCATCCCACAAGACATGCAACATATTTTACATATGGAATACGAGTCACAGTAACACAAGGCATTGGTCTATAGGGAAGCAGGAAACATGGAGACAGCTGTCTGCATGATCCTTTAAACATGCTGTAGCAGGCTGCCCTTTGCAGATTAGAGATGGTATGTAGGGAGATTAGGCAAAAGCTGATATATGTAGTGTTAGCTCTGTGTGTGTGTTAGTCAGTGTGTGAGTGTGAGAGAGGCTGTTCTCATCTTTTCGTCTGCGTAGTCAGACAAGCTACAGTTCAGCAACACTGGCTTAGTGTGCCTTCTCCATCTGCACTGACAGACCACGGAGAAAGCGCTGATGGACCACTTCACCCGTCACTGGAGGCACAATGCCCCGAGCAAACTCACACATACCCATACAACATATACACGCACCACCCCCAGCACCCAAACAAACACATAAACAAACACATAAACACAACTCATACACTGAAATTGCAAAGATGCGACGTATCAGTACACACAGCCTCACCTGCACATTACAGCCATTAAATTCAAGGCACACGCAGGCATACACAAACCGTGTGTGAGGCAGAGGCTCATGTTCAGTCATGCAAGACAAAGCAATCTCTGGCCGACAAGTCCTCATGTTCAAATAAAACCCTTTTCCATCTCTTTCTTTCTTTCTTTCTTTCTTTTCTTATTCCCTGTTCCATGTCTTATGGGAATTGGCGTTTTAAATGTGGTTTTTTAACATTCACATGAAGTAGTCTTAATAGGGTGGGAAAAAGTCAAGGTCACTCTGACCATATAACAAAATTTGGCCATACTTGTTATGATAAAATGATGATATGATGCCTGATCATTATTCAATGCCAAACTCAGAAACAGAAGTAGGTTGATTGTGACAGGTCTGCATAGGTTCTCAGGCATCTAGTTCATGGTAGTCTTAATGGCTTGAAATAAAGGCAACTGGATTAATTTGGGGTCATGAAGGTGTTGGATGATACTACCCTAGTATCATCCAACTACTACTCATACTATTATTGGGATGTGGTGGGGCTGTTTCCAAGGGGACAGCCCCACTACAGGTTAAATATCTGGCACTCCCCATTAGTTTTCAGAGCTGAAAAAATCCTCTTGGACAAGAGGTGAAATGCCTTCATAAACCAAAAAGAAGACCAGTTCCCTTCATTTCAAGTGATTACTTCCATCGTCGCAATATTTCACATTTGTCCAAATCTGAATAAAGGATCCAACTTCTCCAACTTTACTGATTGGTGGAGGTATACAACCACAAAGGGGTGATTGTCAAAACTGCTAAAAAAAAACAATAACACAGCTTTCTGGACTCTAGTTGGTTAGAAGGTTTTGTTAAACACATATTTTAAAAGAATTTGGAGATAGGATGATTTATGAGACCAACAACAACACCCAAGAAAATCATATAGATCTTCTCAGTTAGCGAACCATGCAAATGGGATTTTCATTCTATTTGATTTCTGAGTGAAGTCTACATCAGCCAAGGATAAGAGAAAGGACTTAAAGAAGAGAAGGTCACAAGTCTAAACTACACAAATGTGATAAAAATAAAAAATAGAGCAAAACAGTGCTAAATGCCTTCATACACCTGAAACCTTTGCTTCCACCCGCTGCCAGTGTTGCCAGCACCTTTTCAAAAAGCTCCACTCAAAGCCGCACCTGTGAATGCGAACGTGGCCTGGGTCACTATGCCTGGTTAAGCAAAGGCGAATGAGAACGCTGTTAGAAAAAGGACACGTCCATTCATTGTTTTTGCAGGACGCTTGTGTGCCTGTCCTTGTTCAAATGTTTGCTTTCTGCTCCTGCTTATAAAGTAGATTAGCATAAGGCTTTGATCAGATTGCAGTGTGTAGCTTTTTAAATTGCACCATCCCTGCATGTTTGCTTCTCAGTGGTTTTCACTTGAAATGGGCCAAGTCTGATTTCACAGATGGTTGAACATTAGACTGCTTTGATTTCACATAGGAAATGCAATTTAGTGAGTCATGTATCATTTACAAAGGCAGGTCTTTGCATTAGGTCATAAAGACAATCCACTTCGATCTCTCCAAAGCTTGGTGTTTGCAGTTAGAAATACAAAAATGTGTTTTCATTTGGTTGGAGTGTGTAACAGGATCATTTTAGTTCATATAAAACTTGAACTTGTGTCTTTGTACAGTGTGGCTGTTGAATATCAGCTGTCTAGCACTTTATGAAATCTGCTAAATTCATTTTTTATTAATCCCAGCACTGCAGTTGCAACTATTTCGTATTCATCGGCTTTTGTGTCAGACAGTCTGTTAACAAGTATTGAACATGTTGGTATTAGCAAGAGACACAAAGATATATGGTGTTTCCAGCTCATCTCTAATTAGAGCAATCAAAAGTGTGCTTTAGTTATAGAACCAGCACATCAAAGGAGGAGATGATCTATTGGTATGCAAATAAAGCCTAATGATTTTCCAAGCAGTGACATACTGTGATTAGGCCTCGCAGAAACCTGACAATAGAAACATTCGTCAGCTCAAATTACCAAGGAGAAGAGACAATTCATTGCAATTACTGAGAACAATGATGCGGAAGGAAAACGAAAAGTACACTTTACTGCGAGTAAAATGTGGCAATAATAACGTGGTGATGATTGTGTGTTTTCACGTGTGATTCTCAGGTCGAGCCTTATCTGCCTTATGAATACACCTGCGAGGGCATGCTCGAGAGAGTGCATGCATACATACAGCATCAGGTGAGTGTCGCTACAAATGTCTACAGTTCAATGTCTGCACATATGCGCTTCGCCTATACTCTCCTTTTCTTTTGTCTTCAGTCAGCTCTTGCTCTCATTTATATACCTTCTTTTTTGAAGCTTTCAGAACCCTTACACTGCTTAATATTTCACGCCTGTGTGCATTCAGCACCTAGGACGTCGTGTATCTAGGACTGTGCGTGTGTGCGTGTGAGATTATGTACCCCATGTATGTGGGCATGCGATTAATCGACATGCTAACTCTCATTAGGAGCCACATATCTGCCCTCCGGCTTTAAAGCAGAAGGTCTCCTGACACTAATGAGGAGGGATGAGTAAGGAAAAAGAACACAAGTGTGGGAATAATGATGATGAAGGACTAGGATAAAAGCACTTTTTTATAGCCCCCCACAAGATGTTAGACAAACCACAGAAGCTCTCTCAGTGACTTTTATTCACTCCTGACTTGCAGCTTGTTTTGGACCCGGAAAGCTGTTGAAAGACTAACAGGAGAACATTAAATTACATTTCTGTTCAAATTGGATTTTCTAAAGGAACCGCTTCCTGCAGCTGGTTTGCAGTAGCATAGCGTAGCCTTTGCCTTGTGATTCGAGTCTCCCTGTGTGTTTCTGAATGTCACCGTGGCCAGATGTGATCCTGAAGAGATCTACTTTAACAGGAACTACCACAAGTTTTTATTTTTGCTCAGCAGGTGTTTCTGTCTTCCTGTCGAGACAGATTTTGTCAGGGTGATAGCTTGAACGCTGAGCTGCAGTCACACAAATTTAAATGTGTGTAGCTGAGCTGCAAATGAAGGCAGAGTTCAAAGATGGATGGGGTCTGAGTACTTCATGAATACTCATTTGTCAGAACATCACCTTGTTACAGGCTTCAGTAACACTTTCAGCTGGCGTTATCCCACCCTTGACACTCTCTAATGTTTCACTTAGTATAATGTAGAAAACAAAGCCTTTGGCAATAGTAATACTCTGATCTGGAGCAGCGTCGTGATTTTGTCGCATTTTCCACATGTTACAGGTTTTATCATATTTTTTATATTTATGATTTTTTTCAAAATACCTTTTTTAAATGTAAAATTGCCATTTGCATTTAACTATAACTCTATATGCTTGGATCACTGTGCTTATTGTTGTTAAACTTACGTTAATCAGAAACAACCATATTTTGATTTGGAGCAACTTCCCAAGCCCCAACTGCACATGTGCTTTAAAATTAGAAATAACATTTGAGTGAATATCTTTTAACATCTTTCTCTCCATCGGTATAAAATATTAATGTGTCTTCTGAGAAGCAGAACTCTGCATTAGCATGTGCTCTGTGCATGTTCTCCTCAAGTCTGTTTGCTTTCATTTTACCAGCATAACTGCAGATAACTACAGTGAGTGTGTGTTGCACTTGACAAATGCACATGCTTGGATGCCTTAAGGCACAGAATTGAGTGACCTACACTCAGTACTTAAGGCATCTTGTGTAGGACTGAAGCTGTTGCTGCTGTTCTCCTGAGAAGCAGCTGGTTCTATGCTCTTGTTGTCGACACATTTTCGAGTACAGCCGTTAGGTAAAAGCAGCTTGTATGAAAGTTTCTTACATCATTGGATATAGCCTGTAACTGTGATAGTGGAGCAGCGCATTATAACTTACCTGGTGCCACTTTACTTTACTGTAAAGGCAATAACTCACTCAGGTTTATTTAGTCTGGTAAAATTATTGTATTTATTTCACCTCCAGGATTTCTGTGCCCCAGAGCCTCCCTTCATTCCAGCCAACCTCTCCAGAAAGGGGTCCGCTGGTGGCAGCAGGATGATGGGACCTCTGTTTGTGCCCCTGCCCAACACTACAGCTCTTGGCTGGGCATCCAATGTGACAGCTCCCTCTGCCTGGCCTCCTCTCAGCTCCCTCAGGCTGCTTGTATCTCAAGAGGGCCAGTCTTGTGTGGACGCCTGCCAGTCAGCTGGTTTCATCTGTGAACCCGCTCACTTTCGCTTCATCAACAACAAGGAGGCTCTGCGCAGGTAGGTCAGCCGAGAGTACAAACTGCCTGCTAGCGAGGCTTTAATTAAGTGTTTAGTCCCAACTATCAAGCTTTGCTCATCAAACACTCCACTCCTACAACTTACCAAGCAACACCTCATCACACGTTGTCAGCGTTACCTGAGGAGTACCATCTGTGGTAGAAACACTGTCATGTCTAAATTAAATTAAAAGGAGAATTTGAAACAACCAAGCAATCTTTGTGTACATCACACAAATTTAAACAAAGACGAGTGATCTAAAAGACTCCATGCAATAATATCTGTAGCTGTGGTTTTGAAGGATGGTGGTTCTGATTGCAGGCTGTGAAACCACTGAACCAGCCGAAATGAAAAAAGGTTCTATTGCACAAGTTTTAACATAACAAATTGGATTTTTGGAAATGATTAAGAGTTCAAAACGTTCTATTTAAACTGAAGATTGACGCTAAGTACAGTTTAGGCCGTCTCTGACCTTAGTATGACTCTGATATTTATTTAGTTTACTGTACCAGCCCATGGCTGCTGATCCAGAAACTTCACTTTCAGACATCTCCTTTTCTCAAGCTCCAAGACAGAAATCCTGTCAGCAGTTGAGCCTCTCCTTCGAGCATTTCCCACCTGACTGCTTTCAGCCTTAACTCATTTTCTCTGCTCTTACTTCATCCTTCGAGTATTTTTCTGTTTCTGTTGTTTTTCTATCTGTCTTGGTTTACAGTGCCTCTCCTCTTTGTTTCTCTTTGTCTTTTCATGCTGATGTCTCATACCTGCTCCATAGTTTTTTCCATCTTCCCCGAAGCTTATTCACTTGAGTTCCTCCCGTTCGTTCGTCTGTGATTAAAGTGGTGAACTCGTTTCCATTCCTTGTTTCTGCTCCCCGTTTATTTTCAGGTTAATGCCAGTTCCACTTTCCTGTTACATGTCTGAGATGAAACTGTGAATTTTATTATTCGTCTTTTCTTCTTGATAAATCTCAGTGATCTCTTTTTTTAGATTTCTGCTGCTCTTTTCACTCCTCAGGTTGGACGTACAGTGTGAAGTTGTAGACTCTGAGATTAACCACATCTTGCCAGCCTTCTCGGTGGTGCGGCAGGAGTGTGGCCTTCAGAGGGAACCGCTACTCTTCAGCTGTGCAGGACACTCCCCTAAATACAGACGTCTTTGCCCCTGCAGGGACTTCCGCCATGGGCAGGTGGCGCTGTGCAGAGACTGTCTACAATGACAGAACACGTGAAGGACAGACAGAAAAGACATGGACAAAGAGAAAGAGAAGAAAGTGTAGAGCTGGGACATATCACCTGGTGTTGCAGAGAGCCAGCCTCTCTCGAAAAGTAAATGTAGGCTCGTGACGAAGAAGCATGCATGGATTTAAAGAGTTTACACTGGAACTGAGCCTGGGTTGTATCAGAGGATATTTGATGACTGTAGTTGTTATAACAGATGTTATACTGCAACAGACTGGAGACATTTTGGCTACACTGAACACATAACATGTGGACCGTTCAAGAAGCAGATGTGCCATGAAATGCATCTTTTACTGGCTACACCTGCAGCTCACCTGCAGCAGAGTGACTCACAGGCAAAGCAAGCAAAACACTGAGCTTTCATTCTTGGGATTGTGTTGCCTTCATTTTTTTAGCACAGTGCTGTGAAACTTACAGCTTTTCACAGTTTCTGTGATATGAGTAATTAACATCCACAGACTACACGCGCCCCTTTTAAGGTAGAAGTAAACAAACGCCAGCTGGTCCTGGCAAAAGAAGTTATAACCAGTAGTTTCATTTAAATAAAAAAACAGTGACTCTCTTCTGTGCTAAAGGACCGCACGCATCAACCTTAATAATTATAAATAGAGCACTTGCCTATTTTTGCAAATGCAGAGCAGATCTCTGCAGAGCACACGCAGCACTTAAATGTTGTTCTAACACCTCGGGAGGCAATTTACATTAATTAGAAAGGTTTAAGTGGCACAGGAGGTGCTCTGCGAATGGTTCACATATGTTACATGTTCAAAGTACCCACAACCTTTTTAAAATAGCATTCGAGTGGTTCCAAGTGTCCAGAGACTGGGTTAACGCTCACAAAGCTGAAAGACTTTCACAAAAACGTACAGGATAATAGTTTCTGCAAGATGCTGACTGATGATATTATACACAACATTTCATTTTTTTGGAATTGTATTCCACCAAAATAAGGGGTTTCAGTTGAAAAATATACCCTTTAAAAGCATGTGACTGCAGAGTATTGGGACTACACTGTCATTCCATGACAAAGTCTTCAAATATCTTGGCTTGGAGAAGGCAACCTCAGGTCAATATCCAATCTCCTCTCTGCACATGGACAAAGGATGATGGACAACCAGGTTATCTCCCCAGCTTTTTCTCCCCTCCTCCTGTGATGGACAGAATAATTTATCAGACTGAAACCCAAGTCTGAGGTAACATCACTCAATGCAATCATCTCTGGTCAGAAATCGAAAGAGGAGAAGAGAGGACAAAGATAAAGGGCACAAGATTATTTTTCAATAAATAAGCTTTTAGAGCCTTCAGCTGGATTTTTAAAAAGTCCTCCGGGCTTTTGTGATGGAAAAATCAGAAAATAAAAAAAAAAGAATGGATCAAAATGCTAATGTGGGTTTTGTATTGTGTCTGGTCTTTACTTAGGTTCTTCCTACCTTTATTATGCTCCAGGGTTGCTCCTCATCCCATCTGTTAAAATCATCCCAGCGTTCACATTCATCCAGATTTCCATCTATTCATCCACCTCCAGGGAGAGACGTGATCTTTTTCGCATAAAGCTGACAGCCAAAACAGTTCAGAGGAGTCTATAAGAAGTGAGGTAGCACACTACAGAGGGGGGAGCAGGAAGTCGCATTAAAGAATCAAACTTCAGTGTGGACATCTGACTGGAGGATCTGATTTTGTCAATCTGATTTTTTACTGTGTACTGTGAAATGCGAAGATTTGAGCTCTGACAAATAACAGCACACAGCTGACACAAGGTATGGTATCTACGTAGGCCACAAAGACAGACTCATTAACAAATGTCAGTAATTAAACTTTCTCCTGCTTCTGTGAGTTAGGGCTTAATGCTACAGATGACGCTAGAATTTTTCAGTATGGTAGGTGGTTACCTTAGAAAAGTGTGCATCCTTGAATGCACCCTCTGCATAACCACTCACAGTAGCTCCTGTTTAGTAATTTGTAACATTTTAAAAGGACATGCAAAAAAAATTCTTGTTTTGTAGCTTTTGTATCGTACATTATCAAACGTCTGACTAAAGGTGTGTGTGTGTTAAATTTAGTGTCTGGCTATAAACCTGTACGTGATCCACCTGGCCATTGTGGACAGGGATTTCTGACCAGTACAGATTACATGAGCTCACTGCTCAGCTGGTACCATCCAGTCAGCAAGCATCATGTAATGTGCACTATTTAAAGTAACTTTAGTAGGGATGGGTTTTAATAATCGATTCATCGATTAAAATCGATTCTGGCTTGGATAACGTGAAATCGATTCATTAAAATCCTGAATCCTTTTTTATATAAATGTATTTTGCCCAAAATTCCAGAATCTCAGGTGAAACGTCACACAATTTTGACAACCACCAAACATTTAAAACAATAAATGAGAGCAGGTACACGGCTTCTGCACAAAGACATAAACACAAAGCGCGGACCTGCGGATCAGAATCAGTGAGATGTCGCCTTTCTTATCTGATGGCAGGGACACGGTCGGGGCTGAAAGCCGACAGCTCGCTGATTCTGATGTTTCGGTGGGTCCGCGCTTTGTGTTCACGCCCTTTTTGCGCTGATTCTGAAGCTGTTAGTTTTAATCTCTCTCCAAACAATATTGACCGAACCAGCAGCAAAAGAAGATCCAAACTACGCTTCACATAAACATCGTCATGGACTCCCTCTGACTTTTGCTGTTTTGCTTCCACCACGATAAAATCACACTTCATGCACAGCTCGCTCTCTCTTTCTCAGTGTACTTCAAGAACAGTTTCCCGTCTATCCCCGAAATCTGTTTTCTGCATTATTCGCTTGCTTGTTACGCACAAGACTACCTTTGTTTACAGCGCTGTTGGCCGATGTTTTTTTTCCTTTTACTTACTTCCGAAAAGAAAACCTAATTTCTGACGTTCAATAGGCAACTGAACAAATTTAAACTTTTTAAAAATTATACAAAATGCAAAGCCGTGTCTCTAATAAAACTGCTGTAACTTCAGAGGTAATGTTCATAAGTTGATTAATGATTTTCTTTCGTTTTTGATGTACTGCAGAATGTTTTTATAAAATCCCAGGCCAGGAAAATCACCTTCATGTTTTTCTGTGTTTTATCTTCAGCTACTTTGACACAAAGGCCTCTGCTGTGACGCTCACACCTTTGATAAAGTCTCGAAAGTGTCAGCTTCCTTTTTATAGATACGAAAATATGTAAATGTACTGATCTGAATTATAATATTTCTGACTGTCTGAGGCAAAATTTCCCAGATTCAAATCGAATTGGAGAGAGAGAGAGAGAGAGAGAGATCTGTCAAAAACGTGTCTTGAAAATGTTAAATTGGGCCATTTTTGTTGTAAACCTTACTCTGGGTTGTCAAGCACTATACATATACATATAAAACAACAACAACAACTCACGTAATAACTGTTAATTAATGAAATATTCATATATTCATGGCTAACATATAAATATGTGTGTGTGCGTATGTATATATGTTACTGTTGGTATCATTGACTATATAGCTGCACTCGTTCAGGTTTGAGCTAAATGCCTTAAATGTGTAGCAGCAGTAAAGATGTTTGTATTCTGATGTCATTGAGATAAAATTCAAAAGTTACAATAGATTACAAGAATGCACAATTTCCACTGAGTCTGGCAGGTAAACTGTTTTTAGAGCAGGAATGACTCGACTTTCAATGGTGAAAATTAATGTAACATTACAAAATTACTAAACCCTAAACAGTTTCAAGTTTTATTGTCATGTACAGATAAAGAGTGTAGCCACATTTACCCATAATGAAATTCTTTTGCTCCTCAGCTTTACATGAGCATATATAAAGTGTGCAGTTATATTAAGAAGATAATAACAAGAAAATAGCAGTAATAATAATAATACTACTAAAAGAGAGGATAAAAGAGAAAAGTATTAATATTTAGAGAATTTAAGACAAGTTGGTATTTACAGTTTGTGCAAAACTTGTCCAATGAGCATTAAGTGGCATAGCTAATGAAATTAAATATCAATCAATAGTAATTTGAATTTGAATTTTTCAGTTTGGTACGTCTTTAACTTGGTAATAATAGGAACTAATTCGTGCTAGACCTGAGTAGTAGATACACACTTTAACTATCGGATTATGACAGTGTGTCATATGTATGGGTTGTGTGTGTGATTAGAGGTACAGCAGTGCTGTTGGTCTGAATCCCAATGACTAATGCAAAATTCAATGAATAATAAATCAAAAGTGTGAATGTTAAAGTAGATTCATCAAATCCTCATTGACCTGTACTGGCATGGGAAAAAATGTCACCCCATTCACCAGCTCACCGTGATTTCAATTTAACACCAGAGCCAATTCCAATTACAATGAATACATTTCATCTCAGCAATTCATCCATCTTCTTGAGTGAAGTATTTACAATCATCATAAAAAAGCACTTAGGCCCTGTGCAGAAAATCACTTCTTTCTCTCTGTGGACACAGAGCCGGGGTTGGCTGCAGCCAATGGAAAGGTTCCAGTAACATCTATGAGCATAATGTCTGAAGATGTCACCTCATAAATGCATTCATTCGCATGAAGTAAAAGCTGAGCACTAGAGCTAAGCACATTTGCGTAGCTAAAAGGTTTTGAAGAAAACACAACGCTGCCTGGACTATGTGTTTGATTTCTTTTTGTTGCTCTATACTCGCCTTCATTGATCCACTTCAAGGGAGGTCAGTATTTTTGGACATATTCTTAGATGGAAAAAAAATATTGCCACTCCCACTACAAACCATTCAATATGAAGCTGTATACTGAAAGTATATTTCATAGCAGATACACTGGAAAACCAAAAAAGGGCTAAGCTGGCTCCATTAATCCTGAACAAATCTGCTTACAGTATCAGTGCAAATTCATACATTACAGCTTGTTTGTTTAATTTTTACAGAAAACAACATTTTTAAAAAGCCTGGTTTCACATGGATATTATGATGAACGTCAGGTGATGTCACTTCCTGGACAACACCTGGGGCATGACTCCAGGAAAACACAGAGCCTACAGAGAGATTCTGGCCATGGCATCCAAAAAAAATGATAAGTGATAGTCAGAAAATTACAATTCCCTCCACACCTACAGCAGCTGCATCAACCTTACAATACTTTCACCTTCACAGAGGCTTTAAAGCCTGTAATGATGTAAATTATGTAAAAAAAAAAAAAAGGACATTGGTTATGAATATGATTCATATTTACCTAATTGAGGTAAATTTAGCTCCATTAATGTGAGACGTGGTTACTGTCTTAATTTGATATCTTCTTGTAGTCTCAGTGTCACGGACCAGGTCCTGATATACAGGCGTACACAAGCATGTGAAACCACACCACTGAAGACTCTGCATAGTTTTATTACAGCCATCAGATATTAATCTGAGCCAATAAACTCAGAGCTTTCATCTATCTCTCTAATAATGTTTCTCTGCTCTCAGGGTGACATTCAAACTTAACACATGGCTGCCTGGTAACTATATGGGGACTTTGTTCAACAGCTGCAGTTCCTGTGCTTTGGAGGACCCCCATCAAAAAACCTTGACTTGGGTCTGAAGGACAAGTGTGTCTAGTGTGTGTGCTTGTGTGTGTGTGTGTGTGTGTGTGCATGCATGTGTGTGGGAGAGAGAGAGAGAGAGAGAGAGAGAACGTGTCATACAGAGCATGAGCATATACAGTAAACAGGATTCCTCTAAATACCCTCAGGATACATTTTCAGCAGAATGTTTTTAGTATCCACAATGATTCTTAGCTGAAGGCGCCGCCCAGACTGACTTACACGAAATAAACATTTCGAACGGCGCGTTTATTTTGAAATAAAATGACAAAAAGGAATTTCTTTGCCTCTCTACTAAGAAGCTGTTACTGTTCTATGGTGACTTTAAAGGCTAAAGATCTGATAGTAGTGGAAGTCGGGATCTTTTTTTCTCTTTAACATGATAAGAAAGAAAAAAAACAAACGTTACCTGAGGTGCAAATCCACAGTGGGAAACCTTTGCACAGAAAATGGCTGATCACCGATGGTGATGCCTAATCAAGGCTCCTTCAGTGAAAACAGCTCACCTGCCTTCCTGCTTAAAGGAGCCTCGCAGGTGACTAAAATTCTCAGTAAAAATATTTCTGATTTTGCTTTTTGTTCAATAGGCAGGTGCATGTGTGATTTTTTTTTTTTTTTCAAATTTCAGTGGGTTAGTACTGTTGCCTCACAGTGAGAAGGTCCTGGGATCAAATCCACCATCTGGCTGGCCACTTTTGTGCGTGGATTTTGCATGTTCCCTGTGTCTCTGTGGAT